AGCACTAAGATGACTTTCCTTTGGACTGCTTTGGAACCTAGCACACATACAGACACTGAAATGTCAGGTCTGCTGGCAGTGAGGTATAGCAGGGAACCAATCATTCCTCTAAATTTAGACTCATTGACTGGGATCCCAGCCTCGTCTTTGTCGAGCTTAGTATTAGCAGCCAAAGGAGAAGGAGCAGAATTTAAAGAAACCATGCCAAACTTAAACAACATGGCAGACACATACTTAGATTGAGATATGAAAGTACCACTTTCTGTCTGCTTAACTTGCAGACCAAGAAAATACTGCAACTCTCCCATAATGCTCATCTCGAACACTTTTTCATAGAGTTACAAAAGGAATCACACATATTTTGGTTTGTTGACCCAAAAATAATATCATCAACATAGATTTGGACAAGTAACAGATCATTAGACTCTTGCTTGGTAAACAGAGTCTTATCAACAGATCCTTGTTTGAATCCTTGTTCATGTAGGAAGGCAGTCAAACGTTCATACCAGGCACGTGGTGCCTGTTTTAGGCCATATAAAGCCTTTCGAAGTTTGAACACATGATCAGGAAACTCACTGTTGATAAGCCCAGGGGGCTGAGAAACATAGACTTCTTCATGAATATCCCCGTTTAAAAACGCACTCTTGACATCCATTTGAAACAAGGGGAAGTTTTTAAAACAAGCATAAGCACATAACAGTCTGATTGACTCCAAACGTGCCTTGGGGGCAAACGTTTCATCATAGTCAATACCTTCCTCTTGACTGTATCCTTGTGCAACTAAACGAGCCTTATTTCTAGTAATTTTCCCTTCTTCATCAGTTTTATTCCTGAATATCCATTTAGTTCCTATAATGGTTTGATTTAAAGGACGAGGAACCAAATCCCACACGTGAAGATACTCAAACTGAGTAAGTTCTTCTTGCATAGCAAGTAACCATTCCTCATCTTTTAAAGCTTCCTTATAGGATTTAGGTTCAAACTGAGACACAAAAGCGTATTGACCAGGAATATACTTACCTCGGGTTCGAAGCTATCATTTATATCACCTATGACTTGCTCAATAGGATGCCTCTTCTGTATATGTGGAGGTGTTGTTGTCTGAGTTGAGGTGGGTTCTGAGGGTCTTTAGTAGAGACTTCAGTTCTTGGCTCAGAACCACCTTCAGGAGCATTGCTGTCAGCTTCTTCCTCTTCTTCCTCGAGTTTTCTTTCTTCAAAACTTCGAGTAAGCTCAATCATATCATATTTTAAGAGGTCCTGCTCAGAGTTCTCATTATAACCATTAGCATCATTAAAGATTACATGCACTGATTCCTCCACTTTCTTAGATCGCTTATTATACACACGATAAGCTTGTCCTTTAATAGAATACCCAAGAAAGATGCATTTATCATATTTAGCATCAAATTTTCCAAGATAATCCTTAGTGTTAAGAACAAAACAGGGGCATCCAAAAGGATGAAAGTATGACAAATTAGGGGTTCTGTTTTTCATCAATTCATAAGGAGTTTTTTTAAACCTTTTCGAATCAGAACCCTATTGATAACATAGCAAGAAGTGCTAACTGCCTCTGCCCAAAAAAAATTAGGTAGATTGTATTCAAGAAGTATAGTCCGAGCACATTCTATGATGGTTCTGTTTTTTCTTTCAACCACTCCATTCTGTTGAGGAGTTCTAGGGGCTGAAAAGATATGAGTTATCCCTGATTCATTGCAAAGAATCTCAAACTCATAAGAAACAAACTCTCCTCCATTATCACTCTTGATAGTTCTAATTTGACCACTATAGAGCTTGACAAAGGTATTGAATTTTCCTAGAGCTTCATCCTTATGAGATAAGAAATAAACCCACGAGAAACGAGAGTAATCATCAAGAACCAGAACATAATTTTTTCCCCCTAGACTTGTTACATTGCAAGGTCCAAATAGATCCATGTGGATCAATTCAAAAGTGCATTTAGTAGTGATATCAGGCTTGACTTTAAATGATTTCTTCCTGTGTTTACCAGCAATGCAGTTTTCACAAAAGAAGTCATTTTTATCTTTCAGAGCAGGTATACCACGAACACAATTGGATTTAGCAAGTTCAACAAGTTTGGGAAGACTAATATGACCCATCTTTCTGTGCCAGAGCAGCTCTTGCTGACAGGAAACAAAAAAGCATGTTTCACTGAAGGCATTTAAGTCATTTAGGTCAATGACATACATGTTGTTTATCCTTTTTCCTACAAATAAGATTTTCTTATCTTTTATTCTTTAAACTATGCAATGATCTGCCTTGAAGGCAACTTGATTCCCATTGCTACACAGTTGACTGATAGATAGGAGATTGTGCTTTAATCCATCAACTAGCAAAGACATCACGAAAGGAAGGTAAAGGCTGTTGTCCTATTATCCCACACCCAATAATGTTCCCATGACCATTATCACCAAACAAAACTTTACCACCATTCATAGGTTTTAAGGACGTGAAAAGAGATCTCTTACCAGACATGTGGTGTGAGCAACCACTATCAAGATACCATTTTTTCTCATCTTGATCTGATTGCTTTGAATGAAGAGCTGTTTCTTCATATGTCTCGGATATTTCAGTGGCCATGAATGCTTCTTCGTCTGATTTGGAGACTTCAGGTTCTGAGTCGTAGTCATTCCATGAAGCTTTCATCGCCCTTTCTTTTGCCTTAAGAGTTTGGGGACAATGTGCCCTTTTGTGTCCAAGTTTTCCACATTTATAGCACGACTGAGCTTCCTTTTCCTGTTGACCTGCCTCAGAATTTCTGGTCTGCTGTTGCAGCAGCCTATCTTAACAACCAGATTTGTTACGTTCATAAAAAATAGGACTCGACTCATCAGAGTATCTCTTTTGTTCATTCTTATACTTTAACATGCGATGAAGCTTCTTGCTAACCAAGGCAAATTCTTTGTCAAAGTCACTTTCACTATCGGAGTCATAATTCACAACCTTGGATTTAAAAGCTAGATTCTTTTTTCGTTTCTCATCTTCTTGCCCAACTTGTTTAATCACATGTTCATAACTAAGTAAAGAACCTATGAGCTCATTAATAGGCAAGATAGACAAATTCTTAGCTTCCTCAATAGCAGTACGCTTTGGAAGCCATTCTTTAGGTAATGATCTAAGAATTTTTCTATTAAGATCCTTAACCTAAAAACTTCTCCCTAGACCTTTCAATTTGTTAATAAGCACAGTAAACCGAGAGTACATTTCATGTATTCCTTCACCATCTATCATGTTAAAATTTTCATAATCATGCATCAAAAGATCAATTCGATATTTTTTGATGTTAGAAGTACCTTCATATGTGCTTTCCAAAGCGATCCAGATTTCTCTCGCAGTTTCACAGTTCTCGACTTGATCTGCTTCATCCGGATTCATCGCTGACTGAAGCACGTGCATTGCTCTCTGATTTAACTGAGCACTCTTCTTCTGAGCCACTGACCAGATTTCCTGCTCATCGATGTTCATCGGAATATGCCCGTTTTGAACAATTAACCATAGCTCCTCATCCACTCCCCACATGAACTGTTTTATCCGCTTTTTCCATGCGGTGTAATTTGAACCAATGAAGATGGGGGGACGATTTAGAGTAGCTTGCCCAAATGACCCCGACGCCATTGAACCGAATACCTTGGTAGCAGTGAGCTTCGTCAAACCAGGCTCTAATACCACTTGTGATCAGAGTCAAGGGCACCGCTAGGGATTTTGACTACAAGGAAGACTGATTAGGGCTGTGCCGAGAAACAAGAAGGAGAAGAATTTTAAATTTTCTTCTTCTTGCTTTTCCAAGCCAGATATAAGGAGCAGAAGCAATGGGCCAAAAACTTGACTTGGCCCAACCAACACAAGGCCTAAATAAAATGGAACAGTTCGCAAAACAATGGCCTTTGGCCTGCACTTTAAACTCTAACCAGGAACTCGGAACTAATACTGATTCTCCGAGCAGCTGAGGTAGATTGCTGCAAGTCAAAGTGCAGAGCAACATAATTGAGAATGAGCAGAGGGAAAAAATTGAACACAGAACGTTTTTTAACATGGTTCTACCCAAGTGCAATTGTATACATCCACGTCCCAGAATACAGTCTGGGAGACCCTTTTATTTATAAGATTAAAGACTCAGAACAAGGCTAAAGAACAAGTAATCTAAGAACCAAAACAACACAAGAAGATGGTAAAAACCAGATTCAACTGATCTGAACGCACAGACCACTAGAGAACCTCTACCCCTCTAATGAAACCCTCTTACAGAGCCAAGCCCTATACCACTCAGTTCTCTTTTCCCGCAAAAGTGCCCTGTCAAAATCAAGCAAGGGAGATATATAAAGCCAGCAACTGGCCGTTGAGCCAAATCCTGAAAGCTTCAAGGAATTAGCTAAATCAACCCTTGATTAAGCAGTTTCCCTTTTTGGAGAAGAGCTACAACGGTCTGGAGAAGACAAGGCTTGTTCCCCCAACTTTTAAATAGTCTAACACTAGGCTTGTTCCCCCAATTTTTTTCAGGTTCATGAGTGGTTAGCTTCTCCTGCACCAAATCATGTTGGTGGGAAGTTTTTCGTTGCTTGGGTGGCTGGCAGCTTGGTGCCCAAGAGTGTGACGCAAAGTTGTGTGTATTTGAGGTTTGGTTTTTGTAATTGGGCTCCTTTCGCAGTCGGTCTTGAACATTGTAAGCATTTGTCTCTCAAATATTGCTATCTTGAATATTCTGACAAACATTCTATGAGGAGAGAGAGAGAAAAAATAATACTACAAAATCACTTAGTAATCTTGTAAATTACTAAATACTATTTGAGAAACCATAGAAGAAAAAGACACTAACCAAAATCAACTTAAACACCAATAACCACCATCCCAAACTCTCCATTTAGGCCATTATTAAGACATTAACTTGAACAAGGCGTCAGTGTGAAAATAGTTTGTTGTCGACCAACGATAAGGGACAATAATACGATGCTATAGAGTAGATGGTGAGTCCCGTACGACATTCCCTCCCGGAATTTGTCGCCTGCCGGACCGACATTATATTCCACCGCCGGATGCCTAGCTTGTTGCGTTTCTTCTAAAATTAAATTACACCAAACGTCTATCCAGCCCCGAGTTGGTAACGATGAAACCCATATGCAATAAATGCCCTCAACTCTCAACCTTCCTCCCCCAATCCGGCCTCCACAAATTCACCATCCCCTTATAAAATGGGTCCTCCAAAAACAGAGATTTAGTCTTAGAGAAAAGGGCTATAATGATGGCGGTCGCAGCAGCTGTAATCCTGGCGCTAGCGATGTGGGCAGAGTGCGGCGGAGTCAGAGCCGCTACCCTGGAAGTCAGCAACCAGAGGATCTTGCCAGAGAACTACATCTACGTCTGGTGCGTCGATGGATTGAAGCGAGAAAACGCCCAACGCGTTCCACCGAAGAAGGCGGTCCAGATCCAGATTGCTACCGGCGGCGGCAGGAAAGACGGCAAGCAGCTGCCGTATATTTGCACGGGGACGTACACCAAGTTCTACGGGATGGGTGCGGCGCCGTATTACATCTACGATTCTCGGCGTAGCGGCGGCGACATCGGCAGCTGCCGGGTGATGGCGAATGAGACCAGCTTTTATCGCTGGGACGGGGAGAAGCGGGCTTGGGATATAATCCCGCCCTCGCCGTGGCTTCCTTGATCGATGTTGATCCATGGATCCGATCTCGTTGAACTTTATTGGGCTTCTTTCGTCGAAATGTTTTTTTTTTTTTTGTTGGGTTTCAGGCCCGAGGGGGTAATGCTGGGATGGGCCAGCTCGATCTGTATGGATAGGCTATTAATGGTTTGCCTTTTGTGTATCCGTGTGGCGTTTTGGGCCAGTACTTCGGTGCTGTAGTGCTGTGTATAGAAATATAATAACATGGGTTGTTTGCAAATTTGCCATCAAGTTTTGAGGCTTTTGTGCGTATTTTTACTTTCGAAATCTGGGATTTGAAAACAATTTATGGGTTCAGAAACTGATGGTACATATGAACCTGATAAATCAAAATTATAGGTGGTCTATCTACTCATACAATAGGATTGTTTCAATTTGTATTACAAGTGGTCATAAGATATGCTGCAATATTGGTTATTCTTCGACCATACTTAATAGAATTAACGGTGCCATAGTCAGCGGCGGATCCAGAACACAGAAGTGCACTGGGCCTGGGCCGCATTTTATTAGAAAATTAGAATAGTAAAAAAATATCATGATTATAATTTTTTTACAATGTAAATTGTACACGACAGTATTTTAATTTAGCGAATGCATTAATAATGGAGTCCACATCCATACCAATAGTATACACTGTTTCAAATAAAATACTTGAGCAATCGACTAGAAATTCATCGCTCATTTTGTTGCGCAAATCAATTTTCACATGTTTCATTGTTGAAAAGGTTCTCTTCGTATTAACTGTTGAAACGAGCAGCATCAACACTAGACAAATCAATCTACTAATCAATTTGCATTGTGTTTTCATCCCTATATCCACCCGCTGCTCTAGTAAATTTTCAAGTTAACAAACCAGATATATGTTTTAGTCTTTTACGTTTTAAACTTTTTGAATTTTTAGGTTTCATTGTTTTTTTAGACGAATAACCTTTGGGGTTAGAATTTATAAGCTAAATTTAGAGTAGTGATTTTGAATATGTTCATCTGAGTTATTTTTCTAATTATACCCAATCTTATTTTAAAATAACAACGACCCGAATATCTAAAACAAAAAATTCATAAGGCATATACTAACTATGGATCCAGAGGAGGGCTGGGCCCGGGCCCGGGGTGGCCACCCCCTGGATCCGCCATTGGCCATAGTAGAGGATGGGGTATAAAATCCCACTTGTACGAGACACTGGCCTCAATAAACATTTTAACTTTATAGAAAAAATTGCTCGTAATATTGAGGAAAAATGAGATGCACTTGAGTTGAGCCACATGGATGTCTGTAGTCAATAATGAAAACCGTACCTTACTAAAGGGTGCGGATACTATAACAACACAATAAGTGTTGTTATAGTAACATCAAGGGTAAATATGTCAAACCAACAAAAAACAAAAAATTAAATAAAAAACACTAATTCTAAACACCACACGCGTTCTCTTATCCCTCTTCTCTCCCACCGATCTGCAACCCCACTGCCGCCAGTATTCATTCTCGCCTTTGCCGGAAACGGATTTATCGACGGCGAGATCGGTGGCGCTGCTCCTCCTCCCTTCCGGCCGGAAAATATCTGGTCATTTCTCTCGTTTCGCTTCCTATTCGCCTCAATTTCACCGTAGATTGGACATGTGAATCTCAATTACTTTCGATAACCTAACCGTCGTCTGCTGCGCGATTCGTCTTCTTTGCTTCTGTTCCAGATTATCCATGGCGGCGTACAACAACACCTCGGCTTCTGATCGGCAGCTACGGCAGCGAGGAGGGAAACCGAATGTTGTGTCTCTGCGTATGAGTTGTCGAAGTAGTAGTAGTCATCTTCTTTCCCGAGATGACCTTTTCACTGTTGTGGACATCGCTGGACGTGGTGTTCTTCGGGAAGCCTTCGGTGATCAGAGCCGTTCAGGGATGATGACGGGGCTCGTTTGTATCACTCCCGACGCAGGTTGGTTTGGAATTTCTGAGACCCGCTGGATTCCCCTCAACTGGGAGGAAAGAGTTTTTGTTGTGTCAATTACCTGAACAGAAGGGGTACTCATGGTTTCGAATTGTTGTTGCCTCGAGAGTTTCGGATCAATGTAGCCATACAACTGGTCAACGAAAGTTGATTCCATGGATTTGAGATAAAGCCTATGCTCCTCATTGGTCCACTCCTTAGGCATAGATGATTCCACAGGCGGCTCCTGCAGAAAACCAAACATTACCCGTCACCATCCATGCAGTCGAGCAATGCTAAGGGAAAATCATGGTCAAGACATCATTCCCTATTGCCAAACATTCTCACAGGCTTCAACATTGTTGAAAATCATACCAAACTAACAACCCATATCACAATTCAGCGATAAAGTCGCTTCTTTACTTGGGGACACTCTTAAAAACAAATTAGCAACCCCGTGAATCAAAATAATAGAAACCCCTCAGTAATCCCTCTCTCTCTCTGTGTTCTTTGATTATACAGATTGGTTCATTTGGCCAATCCTTAGGATTAACAATTCAAAACATCCAATCTCAAAAGGGTGAATCCCGTTATTTGGTATGAAGATCACAAGTATCTCATAAGCACACCAAAAACTATCTAATATAAACCACAAATATGGTAAAACAAACCATAAAATGCATACCAGAAACCTTCAAATGTAAAGCACAAGTCACGAAAAACAAACCAGAAACACAAGAATGCAAACCACTAATATTTCTAAAACACACCAGAAACTTCATAAAACAAACCACAAGCATGATAAAATAAGACACAAAAAACATACTAAAAACCTCCTAATCCAAACCACAAATTCTCTAAAACAAACCAGAAATCGCACAAAGCAAACCACAAATATTTCGAAAAGCACACTAGAACCCCCTCAATGCAAGCCACAAACACGGTAAAGAAACCACATAATGTTCGAAAGCATACCACAAATCTCATAAAACAAACCAGAAACACCATAAACCAAACCACAAATATTTTGAAAGCACACCAGAAACCTCATAACGCAAACCACAAACACGTTAAAGCAAACAAAAAAAAAACAAACCAGAAACGTCCTAATGCTGACCAAAAATCTACTAAAACAAACGAGAAACTCCACAAAGCAAACCACAGAATTTTCAAAAACACACCAGAAATCTCATAATGCAAACCACAAACACGATAAAGCAAACCACAAAAACAAACCAGAAATGTCCTAATGCAGGCCAAAAATCTATTAAAACAAAACAGAAACCCTGCAAAGCAAACCACAAATTTTTTGAAAGCAAACCAGAAACTTCTCAATGCAAACCACAAACACGATAAAGCAAACCAGAAACTTCTTAATGCAAACCACAAACACGATAAAGCAAACCACAAAAGGCATACAAAAATATGAGAAATCAAACCATAAATCTCACAATGCAGACCATACATCTGGTGGTCGTTGTCCGTTGACCGAACTCCGGTGACCGTCAGTTAGCATATTCCGACGCCGATAGGCATATTCCGGCCTCGATGACTAGATTCCGACGCCGGTAAGCATATTCCGACACCGGTAAACATATTCCGGCAAGAAATAGCATATTTCGGCGAGAAATAGCATATTCCGGTGACCGGCGACCAGTTTCCGGCGACCGGTGGCAGAATTCCGGCGACCAAATTTTTGGATAGAAAATAAAAAAAAAAAATTTTTTATTTTTTATTATTTAAACAGATTTTTCATAATGACAATTATACCCCTGCTTTGATTTTACACTAGGTCAACTCATCTAATAAAAAGTCATCACAATCCTAGCTTCCTATTGGTTGGAGACTAGTGTTGTTACAATAACAACACAAAGGGTGTTGTTATAGTAACTGGTCCCCTTACTAAACAAGGATACAATAAAAAGCTTTTTAGCCACTAAAATTGATAAAAAGTTAAAAACAGAACACAAAATTGATAAAAAAACAGTAGCGAAGTAACTGAATTTTTTTTTCTAAGATGACTTTCACTGAAGATAAAAAAAAAAGTGGTAAAAGACAATATAGCCCCTGTACAACCCAGTTGACCATTACTCTTTCTTTCTTTCTTTTTGTGTTTTTGTTTTTTGGTCAGATCAAAAAGCTCATATTGTAACGCGACGTGTTGGGATTCTTGTGCAATCCGTGACACTTCGAAACACCTACTCTTCATTTTTTTTTTACAAAAGATAATCATATTGTTGATATGACTTGAACCAGGGGCAACGCCCCCCGCCCACGATGTATGGGCTCAATGTTATTTGGGTTCGGGTTCTGGGCCTGGTCTGTAACCGTTTCCTTTGCCAGATTAGATTAGGTTTAGACCCACATAGAAGTACTATAAATACTTCTCATACTCCTCTATAATCTGTAATCTCCTCGATATAGTGAAATTGGCTCTCTCTCGCCCGTGGACGTAGCTAACACACATCGTGTTAGTGAACCACGTAAATCGTGTGTCTGTGTTTTCGATTCTCGCTTTCATATTCTTGCTTTGTCGATTCTGGCTATTTCCTGATCCGTAGCAGCGCGTTTATAACAAGTGGTATCAGAGCCGTGGCTGGAAATCAGGCTAGGGTTTTCGATTCAGAAGAATGACGTCAGTGAACATGAAGATCGAAAAGTTCACGGGGAAGAACAGCTTCGCTATATGGCAGATCAAGATGCAGGCTTTATTAAAACAGCAAGGGCTATGCGGGCCGCTGTCTGCGAAACAGAAGAAGACAGCGGTCGATGACGATGAGTGGAATACCCTGGAGGAGAAGGCCCACTCGACCATCATGCTATCATTGTCTGATGACGTCATCATTGAAGTCGCTGCTGAGAAGACTACCGCGGGCTTGTGGTTGAAACTAGAGAGTCTGTACATGACTAAGTCTCTAACCAACAAGCTGCATCTCAAGCAACGGTTGTTCAGCTTGAGGATGCAAGAAGGTACGCCTTTGAGGGAACACCTCGAACAGCTTAACTCTATTTTGCTGGATCTGCGAAATATAGATGTTCAAGTTGATGATGAGGATGCTACCCTTCCTGCTGGTTTCTTTGCCGAGTTCATATGAGAATTTCGTTGATTCTTTTATTGCCGGTAAAGAAAGCGTGTCGTTGGAGGATGTCAGGTCTGCTCTTCATACGAGAGAGATCAGACATAAGGCGTCCGGATCTGGTACAGGTGGTGAGACATCGGGTTTGGCTGTTACAGGTGGAAAGGGAAAGAAGAAATCTGGTAAAGGGAATTCGAACAGGAATTCCAAGGGTCCCGGTCCACAGCCAGGTGATGCTTGTCACAACTGTAAGGAAGTGGGGCATTGGAAGTACAACTGTCCCAAGAGAAGAGGGCAACAGAAGAAACAAGGTTTAGTTGTCGTGGCAGAAGTGGACAACAG